GCATAGCTGAATTATGGAAATTCTGTTATTAAAACCAAAACCACTTTTATGAAATTTAAATTAGCAGGTCTGTGTTAGTAACGGATTAATCGTCTTTGTCTGTAGAATACTCATTTGAATGTGAGTGGTCTCAGGTTTAAATCTTGGTTAGAAGGGTTTGAACAATGAAATAAAGAAATTATGTATAGCTTAAAACATGACCTCAGCATTTCTACTCTTTTCGCCAATAACAACTTTCATATCATCCTAATATATCGTGACTTTCAGAATCGGAAAATATAGAAATTAAAATACATAAAATTGACAATGACAGTCTGCTCATGAAACTGATAAGGATGAAACAAATAAAGTCATAGACTATTTTGTTTGTTGTAGAAAACCCCGCATTTTAGTGTTGTAAGTCCGTAGTTTTACCGTTGTCCCACCGGGGACCATTGACTATTTACAAGTAATTTGTGCTAAGTAAAGAATAAATAGTAGAGTTTGTTTGTTTTGGAGCAAAGCCACACTGGCTATCCGCTGTGTCCGCCACGGGGAATCGAACCCAGATTTAAGCATTGTAGACTTACCGATGTCCCACCGGGGGACAAACGGTAGAGAGAGAAAGTAGTTAATTATTACTAAATTAAAGCAAACACTAATTGTCCTCATGAAAGAACAAACACCAGAGGGAGAGGAGTTTATTGTTCCCAAACCACAAACAAACACCGGTTACAGTCAGGAAAAACAAGCACAGAGAGAGAGAATTGTTTGTTTGTTTAGAATTTCACGCAAAGCTACACGAGGGCTATTTGCGCTAGCCATCCCTATATTAGCAGTGAAAGGCAGCTAGTCATCACCACCCACCGCCAACTCTTTTTTTCTAACGAATAGCTGGATTGACTGCCACATTATAACGCTCCCACAGCTGAAAGGGCGAGCATGTTTGGTGGGACGGGGATTCGAACCCGCGGTCCTCAGATTGCGAGTCAAGCGCCCTAACCACCTGGCCATGCCGGGCCAGATAGAGAGAAAGAGAATTGTTCATTGTTACCAAATCAAAACAGAAAGTGGTTATATTTACGAAATAACAAACAACAGTGAGAGAGAGAGAATGAAGTTCATTGTTGTCAAACCATAAGTAAACGCTGGGTACCCCCAGCGAATAACCAACAGCAGACAGACAGGAATTCAATGTTACCAAACCACAAACACTGATTACCCTCAGGAAAGTACAAATAAAAAGCAATTGTTAATCATACCGTCATTTTTCTCTCTCAAAGAAATTTCCTAAATTCGCTTTAAACTTCGAAAGTTTGCTATTGGTAAACATACATATACACATAAGGAAAAACATAACGAACATTTAGTGAAATGCTTTGGTTTGTTACTTTTATTCGTACAGCTACATGAGGGTTATCCGCGTTAAATGTTCCTAATTTTGAAATGATAGACTAGAAAAAAGGCAGTTAGTCAACTGAATAGGGGGATATGACAGTCACTTTTATAACGACCTATGGCCCCAAATGTGGATCTATAGTCTGACACGCTAACAATTAGGCCACGTTCGGTCCACCAGTAAAATAAACATTACACCATATAAAATATCCCAATGGCTCGGGTTCAAATAGTTTTGTTAGAACTACACCTGAACTGAAGACTCTTCGGTATATGTAGCGTTCAAATAAAAACAGCAGATAAGTAACGACAAAGTAGCTGCAGGTTAATTCTGTAAATTACAAATACAACATAAACCTACTACCCTGATTTATATTTTATACACTTGCAGAAAACTTACGTCACAAGTATCATTAACACATAGAATACAGTGTATAAAGTAAGTAATACAATGTGTTTAACCCCCAGTGGTTCCCAACTGCCGGTCTGCGGAAATTTTATGTTGGTCCTCAGAAACATTCGGTGGAGAAAAACGTGAAAAATTTGTACATGTGTTAAAAATATTCGGAAAGTGGTGTTTCTTTCTTAGTTCACTGTAGCCCCCCAGTGGCACGGCGGTATGTCTGCGGACTTACAACGCTAGAAACCAGGTTTCGATACAGAGCACAGATAGCCCAGTGTGTAGCTTTGTGTTTAATTCCAAACAAACAAACAAGTTCACTGTAAAATAAGTTAGTCCCATAACTTTAAATTCAAACTTGCCAGGAAAAGCTAAATTTGGAAACAGAACTATAGGTTTATATACTCCTAACTGTCCAAAATTACAAATATTTTACTGGTCCATGGAGTGGAAATGGTTGAAAACCACTGTTCAGCCAATAAGCTTCAAGGAATGTATTGATTCGGCTGTAAAGTAGCTGTCTTTCAAACTGGTTAAGTCAATATCAAAACGAAAACTGTCGTATACTCGAACCACGGTGTCTTAATAGTGCTATAAGCAAATTTCACTGTAACAAGGTTCTGTAAATGACAGCTAGTTAATGTTAAACCACGCATCGTAACAAACTTTCCATTGTACATGGATACCGGTTTCCAATACAGTGTTTATGCAGACCAAAAAACACAAAAGTATGTCGGAACTGCACTGAGGGTCTTGACTTGTATGTATAGTTTAATATGGGATTCTCTGATTACAGTTTCTCTTCCCATCTTTCTTATGAAAATACCCTTGATTTCTAGATGTCATTTCTGGAAGCTTATGAGCCTATATGAACTTAATATTTTTTGTTTTTAATCTTGTTGACAGTACCAGGAAATATGCTCAGTTTTGATGCAATGTTTTTATATGTCCATGGGCGGATTTGCATTAACGGACCAGCCCAGGCAATACCACATGGTGCATACTGGCTAAACAATTAAAATTTAAAATAAATCTTTAAGAATGCGTCAAGTACACTGGCCCATCGGGTAATTCTCCGTTGTCCCAGTAAGCCCGTCCGTCCCTCTATGTGTCAAAGGGTTTTCTTTCATAATCATAGACTTAATTAGGTAGATAGTGAATGCTCTGAATTGGGTTGAAGTGTGGGTTTGGAGACCACAACTGTTTTCAATCCTCTGCTGTGTGTCTTTCTGTTGTTGTTTGGTATCGTAAACGGGGCTATCTGCGTTAACTGTAATAGACTAGAGAGAAGACAGCTAGACAACATTATCAACTGCCAAAACTTTGGATACTCATGTCGAACCGAATAGCGGGACTTGAGAGTTATAACACACCCATCAGGGACGGAACCTTGTCTTCTGAAAAAAAGGGGCCCCGATCGTTTCTTTGCCTCGGTGCGCCTGAACTGCTTGTTCTGCCACTGACACCCTTGGTCCCATAGTGAAAAACGCAATTATTATTATTATTATCTTGGATAGTAATGAGTCAAAAACTACGCAACTGCTTCC